TTTAGATCGGGGAATTTCAGTGGTTTTTTGTCAACAGATGATAGATCCTATAGGACATCATATCATAAGTTATCTACGTAGCCCCGTCGATGTGCCAGATGCAATGCAACGCATCCAAAGCGCAAGCGCGCGCGCGCGCGCGACGTCTCATGTACCACATGATGATCAGACATGCACGTCTTTTCGCTGCTCACACAACGACAAGCAACAAAGGCATGGCCATCAAGGAATTCGGCGACTCGGTACACTGTACTGCGCTCATCGACATGACGCGGGGAGTCGGATGCTCACCGCTGGCTGTCCCCAGCATCGTGAGCTTCTGCCAAAAGGCCAGTGCACTTTTAAGAATCATGTTTTTTCCAGGGCTGAGACAAAGTTTGGTAAAGTGTATCTCGGCATGTCTCTGTTCAAGTTGTTAAGTTAAGGTTGAGTCGTGAGCGTGAAGGAATCAATAGCAAGCCCTTCCGATGACCACAGCAACCGCCAGACACAGCCCCCCACAACCCACATGGAATCCATAATGCGCGTCCCTCGCCTTGGTTGTATTTTCTCTTCTTTTCTGGCGTCTTCCCTTAATTTGGGACGGGGGTGGGTCCATTTGCCCAATCGTGACTCGTAAAAAGTAGATGAGAACAGAGATATAAGGATGCAAAGAAACTAAAATCAACCACACAATGACAAACAAGAAAAAAAAAAAAAAAAAACACACACACAGAGACAAAAATCAAGAATGAAATAGAAACATAAAGAGCTATCAAGAGACAATGTGTCTAGGATCTTGAGGTTCAGAAGCTGCGTAACATGGCCTAGCAAAAGCCAGGGCCTGCGTGCACCCCTTGTATTCTCTCCAGAATGGAAGCAGCAGCGGCTCTGAAATTTAGCGACAGAAAGCCACCGTATGCACCTGTGGCTGCGAGAGCCTGATCAGAGCGGATCAGCCGACCAAAAGCAATTAGTCGCAAAGCTTTGTGACCTGGATCTTAGAGCCTCCATTGGGTCTTAGATCTTGGGATTGTAGCTTCAAGAGCTGTTTGAACAAATGCTCCCAAGGCGAGGTCTCCCAAGCCTAGCGAAAGAGAAGAGCCCAAAACACCAGCACCTCACTGTCATGGGCCCTCCTCAGTCAGACCCTCCTCCCCCCCCCCGCATGGTAGGATGCATGCCAGTTCTCTCTACGGCATCCGCCAACCCCTTCAGGTCTTTCTCTTGTCCACAACTTGAAGAGCCGGGAAAATCGGGCGCAAGGCCTCAACAGCGAAATTAAGGAAGTGGGCCCCAACGCCAGATTCGACCTTGACCCCGTACCCTGTACCTGCGCAACACAAGCTACAATTATGACATCAAACAGCGCAGCTCAGCCGTGCCTCCCGGTCAGGGAATGGCAAGCCATATTGAAAGTCCTCCACGAGAAGCGACTGCGGCATATCCTCAAGGGGGTGCGTTTGTCTCGGCATCGGAATTACAACTTTGAGCCCCCTGGCCAATTGGCCGTCGTCACTGCTAGTCACTGCTAGTCCTCAGTCCTCGGTCCGGCAAACTTCCGAGGAATGCAACTCCACCGCTGGCCGCTTCCGTGCCTTTCGCTCAGGCTTTCTGGCACATTGAGGCGTCGCATGATGCTTCAAGGCGCCGAACAAGAGGACCTGGGAACGCATAAGAGTTACAAGAAGGTGAATTACAAACGACCGGCCTCCCAGAGCGGCCGCAGCTCTGCGATCCTGGAGGCTGGGAGCACGTAGCGTGCTGCAGGGGAGATGCTGCAAACCGGCCGGTAGTCCTGCAAGGGACGCTGGCCCGAATCTTGTGGTTAGGCTCTGATATAGCTAAGGAGGCGGGAATCTAGGCCTGCCCAGTTGCGTGTAAAGTCCGGTTCCAAGCCTGCGCGACCCTCAGCATATCCTTCAGCCGCACTATCGGGAGACTCGTACACTAAGCTCCGAGTAGCACCCGAAACCAAGCAGCTCCGACATCAAAAAAAGCAGATTCGGGTTGGCCCACAAGAAATCACCTACTTCAATCACCACCGCCCTGCAATTTACTGCGTCAAGGTTTATGTAAGTCCCAGCTTGGACATGTGGATTTGTGCATGGGAGAGGAAATGGTTTCTCCAGGCATCTCAGAGCAGAGGACTGTTTAAGCCCATGGCATTCCCAAAAAAAGAACCCGGGGACGGCTCGTGATATTCTGCGGAATTCTGGGGTGGCACTGCAGGGATAGGGGGCGGGATTCTGTGTGATACTCGGTGCGATTCTTTGGGGCTGGGCACTCTAGGAATACTCGGCCTGTTTCGAGAGCTGTGGGGCTTGACCCGGCCGAGGAGAACAGCTGAGATAAATTCCAAGAGCCACCGAGTGCCGGGAATAACAAAGATCACGGCCTTCAAAATTCAAATCCGATGTTGTCCCTGTGCAGAATTTGCCCCATGGTTTTCCAGCCCTACTTCTTGTGAACTCCGCACCCATGTCCCAAGGACCGACCCTGCAAACCAGCTCTTTCCTCGAAATGAGGCACTTGGCAAGCCGGTCCCGCCGGCCGATGCTCTGCCCTAGGGCTGCAGGGAGGATAAGACTCAAGGGGTACTTCCCATGTTCTTCAAGCGCCTAGCCTGCTTTCTTCAAAGTGTGCATGAAGTGTTTTCTGTGCTCCATCATGTGGCATGTGGCAGCGCAGCAGTCTCTGCTGCAACTAAGGCACCAAAAGTTGTACCTCAGGTGGCAACGTGCCATCTGAGTTGGAGTCTGTCAAACTAGCCTGTCCGAACTTCGGCAACCTGCACACCCGTTGCCCGCTAGATTCATAAAAATTGCAACTCAGTGGGCAAGACCAGATCCCACCATCCCGCAAAGCCTCAGCACATCCGGGTCCGCACCTTTCTAGGGAAGGGATAGGTCAAGGGCTACAGAAGTCATGAGGCGCACCCATAAATTCCACAACATGCTACGTGCAAACCCAGAAGCAGAACAACGAAGCGCGGCGCAGTCGGCTGTACCTCTTTCGTGCTGAACAGAATGTTTTCTTGCTTCTTGAGGGCTCAACAGTGCTTAAAAATTAAAAATGGCCTCCGAGTTCAAAGGTTGACGTGTGACAGTTCAGGAGCCCGTCTGATTTACCCGGAAAGCTCCATGCAAATTCTTAGGGAAGGGCCTCGCGGGCTCCAAAGGATGCCGCACCGTGAAAGAGTGTGCCCGGGAAGACCAGCCACCGGTTCCTTGGGGGGAAGGTGCCGGGTTCACGGAAGGCTTTCACCTCTTCAGGCGCCTGCTGGGAGTCGCAAGTGCCCAAATGTAGCCTAGCTGCCTTGCACCATGTTGTACAGCAGTGATTTTTGCGGAGGCTTTCCCGGTGCAAGAGTGCTTGCTTGCTTGAGTGTGCATGACAGGTGTATGTTGTGTCAGCAGATGCGTTGTCTTGCTGGAAGCGTGCTCCTGTGACCTGTTGATGGTTCGTTCACCCCGAGTCAGCCCACCCCACGCCCTTTATTTGACTCCGCGAGCTCTGCCGGGTTACACAGGTGTCCTAAAGTCCAAAGGGCGGGCTTGTTGCAACCGTCCAGGCCATGCCCGGCAAACGTGGGCAGAGCTTCGACTGCGAAGAGGCCACCTGGCGGACACAGAGGCAGGTATTGTAGCCCAAGTTGAAGAGTTTCGTGGTCAGAAACGGGTGTCGATGGGAATCATACACACAGACACAGCTCATTGCAGCTCCAACGACCTTGGGCGAGTTCGTTCTCACAAAGATGTTCCTATGCCCTGGACGCCGCTGCGCGTCACTGTCCTAGACCCAAATCCGAAATTGCGGTTTTGCACTTCATGGCGGCCCGCTTCAAGCTAAATCCCACTTTTGCATGCCATCATGTAAGCCATACTGCTTTACTTGCCAGCTGCACAATGCCTTTGAGCCAGGGCCCAACCCAATCGCTTCAATGACATGGAAGCTCTGATTCCAGAGCTTGGGCGGGCGAATGGCCTGGTCCAAAACCACCGTGGGGCCACCCACATCCCCCAGGTAGAGCACGCTGGAAAAGGTCGGACGAATGAGTTCCGCAGAGGCGGCTCCCCCTTCACAGCCCTTGGAGCATGCGTGTTTGGTTCAGGGGCTGTTGAGGGCCCGCAACAAGATGTGATTTCGACCTTCTGCTCTAAAGGACGCGCTTCAGAACTTCAAAAAACACAGCCCGACTTTCCCGGGATACATGTTGCACGTATACGAATCACCATCTGAATGCCACCACTTCCCCTGCATGAACCATACATGGAGGCTGTGCAGTCCTAAGGGGCACTCTTCTACGACAAGTGGCCGAGATAGCTGTATCGTAGTGGAAGTGCGCACCCATCTGCGCAGCCTGGTTGCGACACCACCACTCAATGCCAAGATACTGCTGGTAGTCCTGGGGATGCCATTGTGGCGTCTAAGTCGTGACTGAGCTGCATGTCGTCCACCACCAGCACTGAACAAACGAGCCTACACAATCATTTCTGAAGCCAGCCGCTCCCTAAGTAAGCTTAAACTTAACGCTTCAACCCTCGTCAGGGCAGGTCCTCGCCCATCAGCTTGAGCAGCTCCCTCCCAGCAACCTCGGCGGCTGTCCTGGTGACAAGGGGCAGAACGTTTTGTGTGGCAGGGTTTAGGGTCTAGGGCCCCGAGTACCCAAAAAGTGTTCAATTAGTTGCACGTCATTCGCATGGAACTCCGGAATCCCACAAGGCACCAAGCAAGCACCAAATAGGCACCAACCAGGAAGGACTCGAGTAGGGCATCCTTGGCTCGGCGCTCCGATCCAACCAGAACCTCACATTCGCTTCATTGGGTTAATTCATGGGCATGCTTCCAAAACCTTCCGGAATGGCAGCAGCGTTCCATGCTTGACTGCCAGTGCTGTTCCCCAACTGTTAGGACGTCGCCCTCTCGATTTTACTTCCGCTGTGTTTCAGCTATTTTCTACATATTGCTTGTGGGACGTCACATGCAAGGTGTGCCGGAGTCAAAGGTCTGCATTTCCTCCTGCTGCCTCCCTCCATGCACATGGGCCCGGCATGTCGTTGCAGGCAGGGAGCGTGCTCATTCGTGATGGGCTCTTCGTCCGCCAAATGCAGAGATCGTCCACCTTGTGCGGATGGCTCAGCTTGGGAGGAGGAAGATGTCGCTTTGCTGAGGGTGCTGCAGGGTGGTGTTGCCTAATGCTGTGACGTGCGGAAAATTGGGAGGAAATTGTTGCGCCCTAGCCCAAAGCTTCAGATCACCCGAACATTCACTATGAACCTCTTGAACAGGACCTTTACGAAGAATTGGCAAAACCCAAACTGCCTCCTGAAGCTGCTAACACTCCTCAAGAGGCTACGCCGCTGCAGCCCACTGAGAACCCAGCACTCTCCCTTACCAACTCGAAGAGCTCCTCAGGAAGTGCATTGCTGCTCAGACTGTGAGGCTGACAAGCGAAATGGCTGTGCTCATGCTTGAATTGCGTGCGCGTGCGCGTGCGCATGCGCGTGTTTTCGATGTCTTGGGCACTGCGCTGCCTCGCGACATGCCTGTACATTTATTTCTACATAAATGTAAGCTTATGTTTGTGTTTGTCGATGGTTGTACTTCTGTTTCTATGTTCACTTGTATTGCTCCGGCTCATGCTGTTGTGTGGATGCAGGGGTTGCTGTAGGCACCACATGGCATCATCTGGATAGTATGGTTTCCAGCTCTACCAAATAAAGATCAGAGTCCCATGAATCGCACCATCCTCGGAATTAGGGGTTTAGGGTTTAATCGCACACGCGCCAGGCGAGGCACCAGGGTTTGGGGGTTTGGCTGTCACCTCCGGCAGCGCGGCATCCCACAGCCGGACCGAAGGAGAGGGCCGGGAATCTGCTGCACCTTGGCAGGGACGGTGCTTGCCCCCATGATGCAGAGTCAGGCCATAGTCAGCCCTGCCATTTGTCCCTCGCAACCAGAGAAAACGAAGCCCGGAACCCTCCAGAAGCCTTCTTAAAACAAAGCCCCCCCGGTCAGAACTAGAGCCCCTTTCACACCCAAACCCTCTACAAGTAGACATCTCGGTCCCTTCCCAGTCTCAGACCGTGAATCAATCAAGGGGGGGAGGGGTGATTAACGCGGAAGTGAAATTAAACTGGGGACCCTGTCTGCAAAAGCAGCGGAGGCGCCAGATTCTTTGCAGAAAGCTTGCGCCATCTCGGGCTGCCAGATGTTCCTCAGTTGAGCATTTCTGGAATACGTTACGGGTCCGCCAAGGTTTTGACTGCGCAGGCGCAATTTTACAGAGGCTTGAAGTTTAGAATGTGAATACGCTGTTCGACAGGGCAAAGTACTGTAGGCCTTAAGCTAGGAGTACAGGATCTCAGAGCCAACATCATTCCTCCTTTTTCCTTGGAACCCTTGGAGACATCGGCTGCTTCTTCCCACAACAACAGAAGCAAGTCCAGTCACAGCTCCGACTCACCACTACGCAGCGGAGGTTTCGTCTCAACAGCGCCTTGTCAGCCGCCGCCTGAGGCATGGCAGATGAAGAGCTAAGTCTTCAAGGGCTCAAAGACTCCCAGAGTCAGCACATGTGGCAAAACGTATCAATATGGAAGAAGGGTTGAACCTCCAGAGGCTGATCCGAAATCCGGTTGCGCCTGCTGTGCCGCTGCACCATTCGGGTCCAAACGGCAAACTTCGTCGAATGCGTGGAAGGCGCCTGCTCCACCCCGAGCCCTGAGGTCTCCCGCCCGAGGCGAGACGTTAAGACGGTGGAATCAGCCCTCAGCCCTTAGCCAAGATGACACAAGCCTGACCCAGACTGGACCGCAGCGACGCATGACCAGTTCCCCACATCATGAGTACCGCGGTCCTGATGGCCAGAAAGGTTCCGGTGCCTTCGAAGTCACCCCGGCGATAAGCGCACTCTGCCAAGAACAGCCTCAGTCTTGAGTGCTGCGGTAAAGCCAAATATCAACGCCCCAAGTGGCCTTCTCCGTGGATGCTGCGACAAGAACGTCTTTCACCTTCAACCAACTGCGAACAAGCAGCCAAGCATCTGCGCGGTTCTCATCCAATGCTAATGCCCTTTCCATGCAGAGCACCACCTGAGGCATGAAGAGGCTCGGGCAGTCGCACTTTTACTTGAAGCTAAAGTCGGGAATTCTGCGGGCAAACGGGCCATCGGTTATCAGATATTTAACGTGACATTGCTCAAGCACTCGAAGAGCCTGGTGGTGCTCGTGCGCGACATCGTGCACGAAGCCACGCAGGAACCAAGGCTCGGACCTGGGCATGAGGAATTTGAACATCTCCGCACCCGAAGATAAGGCAGATCCTGCTCAATCCTTGCCTTCGTGGCTCTCACTTCAGCTTACAAGGCAATGAGCATGGCTTTGCTACTGAAGTTCCGTCGCCGCAGCAGATTCCTCGGTCGGTTCTGGCAGCCTCTGGCAGCCTGGGGCAGCCTCCCCTCATCTCCCCTCTGCTGCAACATGTAGAGTGACGATGCTTCTCCGTATGCTTCCTGTGGTGGACCTTTGGGGCCCTGGCCACTGCGGGAACAGCGCCGCCTCCCTCTCGCAGCGAGCCCGTGCTTCAAGAAGCTGTCCTTCAGCCAGGAGCCTCGAGCACGAGAGCATTCAACCGGGCATTCGTTCTCATGGATTCACATGGCCTGCAATCAAAATGCATCCGATCCCTCGATTTTCTTAAAGACCCCCACAATGTCGAAATTTTCCACGTGTTCCGGCCTCCGTGGTGCATGTTCCCATGTTCCCACTACGGCCAACCCTCAGCATGCTGAATGCGCGAGTTGCCGCTCATCTCGCGCCTTGAACCGTAAAGCCTAAACCCTGGATCGATCCCATGCTGCGAATCATCACTAAAACATGTCTCCAAAGATTGAAACAAATCCGCCAGAAAAGCATTGCATGTTCGTTACTTCAATGACCTCACAAGTGGATGTTAAGCTCGCGTCACCATGTCCTTGCCACTCTTGCCTCTGAACGTCGTTCGCGAGGTCAGCACGTGAATTCTGCGGAATGCCTGCAGACTCACAGGTGCGTAGACTTTTAAAAACACCTTGAGGCTCTGTGCACCAGCTTGACGAGGGGCCTGCGCGGGGCTCACTGTTGGATCGCCGCCGCTTTGGCGAAGGCTCCATGGGAAATGAAACTGAAATGAGATGTCATGCAGCTTGGAGCTGATTGGCCATCTGCGACTCAGCTAACTTCGGATACACTCCAGCCATGAGCTCGAAAGACGGAGTCGCCAGGATGCATCCTTGAGCTGTCTCGGGTCTCGGGTTCGCTTTGATCCGGTGATCTATTGGCTGACGACCAAGTGCTTCTTGTAGAAGGGCTCACTGCTTCCGAAAAGTGCTTGCAAACTTGCTCTGACAAGGCGACCTTTTCAGGGGTGCGGCGGTGCACATGACACCAAGGTCGAAGTGAGAAGTGTAAGCTTTGTAAGTTCCTTTATTCTTCGTGATACAAGCGAGATGATTGCTTTTTCAGGCGTCTGTTTCTGCAGCCACGATGTGTAATCAAGCAACTTATCCTTGGCAAGCAACTTATCCTTGGCAACTGCTGGCCGGAGATTTAGTGTATCAGCTCAATGACAACAACTCATTCCACGTCCAGGCTACGTTGAGCTTGGAGTGCTTCGCGGAGTGCTCTCCGCTGCTTATTGATTTTTGCAGCCTGCAAGACGCACATCTGGCGCTCAGTGGAAGTGTAGAACATCCACTCCTGTCACACTACATACAGCTCATAGCAGAACCCGAGAATGAAGCTTCCAGAAACTTCCACACTCCACACACGCACATTGATTGCAGGGTCACCCAGACTTGATTGATTGAATCACCAGTATGCAGCCATGACGAATCGGCACTGTCTACCGACAAGGGTGGCCGAAGCCCACTCTGGCGCCAGCTCCGAAGCAGTCTCACTGCAACTAAAGCACATGGAAAGCACTTGCCATCATCGGCCAGCCACTACTTCACAAGCAGCTAGCTGTTAGCTTCACGCCGATTGAAGGTGTCGGGGCGGGGGATGCAGTGCATTGCCTTGCTTTTGGACTTTCAGCACCCACCGCACCAACTCCCTTGCGTTGAGGGCTCGACCTTGTTCAAGCCATTCCCCGCGGACATGTCGAGGTGTGATCGACCTGAGTCCATCTCATTGCTGGGAAATGGTTTATCAGACAAAAGTCCTAAACGCCACCTTTTAGCCAGGCATTGCTGCCTCTCCATCAGACAGGAAATACAAGTCACACACCCCACAAAGGCCACACAAGGGCAAGAGCACCCAACAAACACCCTGCACGGCTGGAGATTCCATTTGCCACCACAGCACACAGCTTTGGCAGCTTGTGGAAGTCATTGGGGCCTGGAGGCGTGCCGTCCGCCCTCCAGATCTTCGGCCCCTTCCACGAGGAAGGCGCTGTGGGGTTGACATTTCAAGCTAAACGTCGTTTGGGCCTTCTGCGAGCCATTGCCCTTCAGCTCTACATCCTTGTTGGGGCAGCTTGCTCTGCGTTTCTGTTCCGGTCTGTTCTGCAAGATATCTTCGGGGCATATGGTTTTCAGTGGCTCTGCAAGCCAGCAGCAGCCATAGGTGTTAAAATGGAGCGAGACCTTCCGAGCTGCACCCTGGCCAATCTGAAGCTACGAGCATTTTTCGAGAAATCATGCCAAAACACACCTGGTGCGCAACTGCACCCAGCTCTCAGATGTCTGCCCTAGAAGCCTTCACACCCCATGCGCTCCAACGTTCCTCTCCGTACTTACGGATCTATGCTACTCGCAGCACATGCTGTGTCATTGATTAGCACTCTGGCAGCGAAAGCCAAGAAGGTCTGCCTCTTTGGGGTCAATCTCCACCTCCTCCATCTCCTTGGCCCGATGAATTGGGAGTTTGCAGCATGTTGCCGATGTAAGCTCGGTAAGCGCATGGCGATAAGGCCTTTCCCCTCCGGTCTCCTCTGTGGCAATAACAACAATTATGACAGGGCCACACTCTCCCTTCCAGCCATTCGGCACGACCCAGAAAAGAATATCTTGCCCCCCCCCCCCCCCCCCCCCCCCCCCCCCCCCTCCCCATCACAAAAAGAAAGCGAGATTACACAAACCTGCCGAGGGGCCCCATCCAGTTCCACCATCACGTGGCGTTCGCTGCCGTCGTAGAGTTTGCAGGGTTGGAAGGTTCGCTTCACCTCCGGTTCTTGGGCGATTCACAGGGATTTGTCTCCGTCATGTCACCTAGAGGAAGGCCTGTTCGTTCTTCGTTCTTGCTTGTTGCGACATGAAACACGGGGAAACATGAAGTGGCGGGGCAGGGGGGGCGGGGCGGGGGCCTTAGAACTTTTGACTCTCGCCCCTGCCTTGGATCCTTAACGCATGTTCGAAGGCCTGTTCTACACCCTCTCCATGCAACAAGCACGACGCGCCAAAACATGTAACATGATATAATACATATACCATACTACAACAACATGTATATCTATATATATATATATATATATATATATATGCTACCCCCCCCCCCTCAAAACCCGCGTTTTACTATGTTTTCCTATCGTACACTATGAAAACCTCTCCCCAGAAACCCTCAGTTCCAGAATTCCAGAATTCCAGAATTCCAGATTTTCTGAGATCCCTAATTCCAGAATTCCAGAATTCCAGATTTTTCAGAGGCCCCCAGTTCCAGAATTCCAGAATTCCAGAATCTGGAATTCTGGAACTGGGGGCCCCTGACAAATCTGGACTTCTGGAATTCTGGAATTCTAATTTCGGAGAGCCAAGAAGGTTACATTTGAAATTAGAGACGGAAAATAAGAGTCTTATTAATCTTACCCATTAAGTTTTAGAGGATTCCATCTTACCCATTAAGTTTTAGAGGATTCCTTATTTTTTTCTAGGCTGATTAAATTTAATAATACTCCCGTTCACTTCAATGGGAGTTCTTATTAGCCACCAGTTCCAGAATTCCAGAATTCCAGAATCTGGAATTCTGGAACTGGGGGCCCCTGACAAATCTGGAATTCTGGAATTCTGGAATTCTGGAATTCTGGAATTCTGGAATTCTGGAATTCTAATTTCGGAGAGCCACGAAGGTTACATTTGAAAAGAGACGGAAAATAAGAGTCTTATTAATCTTACCCATTAAGTTTTAGAGGATTCCTTATAATTTTCTAGGCTGATTAAATTTAATAATACTCCCGTTCACTTCAATGGGAGTTCTTATTAGCCACCAGTTCCAGAATTCCAGAATCTGGAATTCTGGAACTGGGGGCCCCTGACAAATCTGGAATTCTGGAATTCTGGAATTCTGGAATTCTAATTTCGGAGAGCCAAGAAGGTTACATTTGAAATTAGAGACGGAAAATAAGAGTATTATTAATCTTACCCATTAAGTTTTAGAGGATTCCTTATAACTTTCTAGGCTGACTAATTTTAATAATACTCCCGTTCACTTCAATGGGAGTTCTTATTAGCCCCCAGTTTCAGAATTCCAGAATTCCAGAATCTGGAATTCGGGAACTCGGGCCCCTGAAAAATCTGGAATTCTGGAATTCTAAGAGCCGAGAGAAAGGTTACATTTTGAAATTAGAGACGGAAAATAAGAGTCTTATTAATCTTACCGAATAGGTTTCCTATTTAAGATTAATCCTACTGCCGTTCATTTTACTGGGGGTTCGTATTAAATTGATAAGATTCCGAATAATTTTACTAGCATTCACTGTTTTTTAAGTAGGATTCCTGCATTTGTCTAATTGGGTTCGTATTAATTTCTAAAGGATGCCTATTAAAGGGTGCCTATTGGATTTATTCGGGTTAATATTGATTACTATTCATTTTCATCAGATTCCAAGTAGTTTGAATAGGGTTCTTAGTAATGTTAATAGCGTTCTTATTCCTAGTATTTTTTAAACATATTCCTATGATGTTAATGGGCTTCTTATTCAATTTCAAAAGGTTTGCGTACAATTGTTAATTGGATTCTTTTTGCTTTGATAAGCTTCCAATTAATTTAAATAGGTTCCTGATTAATTTGAATAGGCTTCGTATTCATGTTAACAGGGTCTCTCATTCATGTTGAAAGGATTCTTAATAATTTTCATAGGGATCCTACTAGATTCAACAGTGCTCCTACTGTTTTTTGAATACTGGTCCCTATTCATTTCAATTGGACTCGAAATAATTCTATTGTAATTCTTAATAATTTTAACAGCAGTCCTATGAACAAAAAGTTTTAATAGGTTCATAGTCATTTCATCAGTGCGGCTCTTATTGTTTCAAAGGGTCCACGTTACTTTTTTATAGAATTTTATTGGCTCCTCTTAATCTTAATAGGATTCGTCTTCATGTTAAACGGATTCCTGTTACTCGTAAAAGAATTCACAGAAGTTTTTATAGGGTTCATATTCATTTTAATAGCATTCCTATGAATTCAAAAGGGTTCCTATTCATTTCAATGGGCTTCCTATGATTCCTTTGAGTTTAGGACTCCAAGAAATTAGAATAGGAGTCCTACTAATTTGATATGCTTCTACATATTTAAACCAGATTCCTATCAATTGTACGTATTGATTCAAATAGGATTCTTCTTGAATTCATACGAAATGGCTGAGTGGATTTAGTTATGTGAATTAAGCTTTTTGGAATCAACGAAGTTAATTAAAAGTAACGAAATCAAGGACATTAGACACATTAGTGAAATTCAGTAAACTATTTCATGAATTTCTAAAACCCTACCATGACCAAACTGGGAGGCCGATCTGTCGGACTTCAGGGAAGAGCATATGGAAGCGTGGGTTTTGGGGGGGGGGGTACCATATATATATATATATATATATTTGATCACCCATTATATATCTGTTTCAAACTATACTGTATAATTTCTATATGGAATATTCTTTGCATTTGTAGATTTTGTATAGTTTACATACAGACACACACACACACACACCAACACACACACACACACCAACACACACACACACACCAACACACACACACACACACACCAACACACACACACACACACACACACACCCCAACACACACGCCAACACACACACACACACACACCAACACACACACCAACAC